CTTCATCAATTATATGATTATACAGTTAAAATAAAAGTCAGTTAATGGTATTAGGGTAAAGGTTGTATGCTCATTTTAGACTGTGTGTGTCTTTGTAGGTATAATAACCAGTGGATGATTGTGGACTAAACCACTTTACTCCGGGGAAGACTACATTAAAGAGGGGCTCGTTGTGCTGGAGCAGATTCCGTAAGTCCTTCATCATACATTATTTCAGCATTATATTATCATGACTTCTAAATAACCTTTTTAAAATATTTTAATGCTGTAGGGGAGAAGTTGTTTTCAAAGATAAAACTCAGGAACTGCTGGAGAAAGGGTACTGGGCAAGTTACAACATACCGTAAGTATGCAGTTTAAACGTTTTATGTAAACATGTATTTGGATGTGTTATAATTGTGTTACATGTAAAACTGCCTTTTGTTATATTTGCTCATATGTAGATACTATGAGGAAATATTCAATGCAAGTGGCTGCAATGAGCTGGTGGAGAAGTACGGCCCGTGGTTCTCTCTGGACCAGAATCCTCGGGCTCAGATCTTCAGAAGAAACCAGACAGCTGTCACAGATGGGACTCCATGATCCGCCTTATGAGGTACAAACAAACTCTAACATTATACTTTAAATATGTTGATAAAAAAAAGTGTTATCAATACGATTCTTTGTCTCTCCTCAGGTATAATAACTTCAAGGAAGACCCATTGTCAAAGTGTGAAGGCTGCAATCCACTGGAAACGGAGAGAATGCCATCTCAGCCCGTTCAGACCTGAACCCGGCGAATGGAACGTATCCGTTTGGCGCTTTGAGGCAGAGGTCGCATGAGGAACAGACATGAAGGTATTATATTTTCCCATTTATCTACTTCCCATATCCTCTGCCCATGCTTACCCCAACTCTTTTCTATGTGCTTGCTAAATCTGATGCATTGTGTGTTCCTGTTCAGATGACCTCCTACGGGATGTTTCGTGACTACGGTATGATGTGGCAGTGAGTGGACCAACATGGGACCGAGTGCCGCCCTTCCAGTGGAGCACTTCCCCTTACACAGATCTGATGCACATGGGGCACCCCGATACTTGGGCATTCAAGCCGATAAAAGTCACCTGGAATCCTTAGTTGTTTAAATGCTGAATATACGAGTGGCATGATCAATGTAAAAACTGCCGGCGGTTTGAAGTTTGGACAAGGGAAATTATACTTGGATTCTTTCTGACTCCACTTTTATGAACTCAATAGTCATGTTAATGATTCTCAGAAGAGTGGCAATAATATCCAGCAGGTATTACAGTTATGCACTATTTTCATAATTAAGCACACAAGGTATACAAATGTTTGCAATATGAACTACATATCTGATTTTCATGTTTTGTTTGCTTAATAAGTGTACCTATGCGTAAATCCCACTTGTTTCAATTGTGCTGCCATTTTCTTGAAATTGAAAAATGTTTTCACATGACCTCACCTTTCTTTTGAGAAAAACGCTAAGTTCAATAATACAGATAAAGAAGGTACTGTATGTCACTGTGAAGTCAAATGTCTTGATTAGTTTTCAAATAATTGTAATATAATGCCTTATATGATTTGGGTATTTTTTTCTAATTATTTTCTAAATAAAATACTCAGATTGTTGAGATGTAATGTCTTCATGTTCTCTACTGCATCATTTAAATTGTTATTGTGGATGTGTTCAAATATATGTTTGTCACTATAGCCAAATAAAATCATATCGTTGCAAAAACTAATACAATGGTAGAAGAAGTACTCAGATCTTTTATTTAGTTAAAAGTAGCAATACTACATTGTAAAAATACTCTGTTACAAGTAAAAGTCATGTATTCAAAATGTTAAGTAAAAGTGCAAAAAGTATTGACATCAAAATGTTCTTAATAATGAATAGCTAAAACAACTTTGAATGTAATTGGTTTTATTTGTATTTATTTTATTGAACTTTATTGAACAATTATTCCGATTAATCGAAAAACATCAGTATTCCTTACATTGATTTAAAACTGAGTGCATTATGAACGGAAAACAGAAACAAACACAAGATCACTCATTGGTTGTGAAAGCAGTCTGTCCGTCACGTGACCAGCCATGGTCGTCGTCATAGCATTGCACTGTCGTAAAGTGACAGCGCGGTCGTGTTGTTATCTTTGAACAGCTCCTTTAGCTGAACTTTAAACATGTTAAAATGTCGATCTTCTGTTCACTAACTGCACGTAACTCAGGAGAATACCGAAACTGTCGACGTGATCATAGGAGAATGCTTAAATTCAAGGTATGAAGTTTTCTGTTAGCTCGTTGGTTTGCAACATTACAAACATAACGGAGTAACCTAACGTTGCATCCAGTAATGCTATTTATCAATGGAGCTCGTTTGCTGATATGGTAGACAAGTTACACGTGTCCTATCGCTCTGTGGTGTGCACTCTGTAGTGCATTTATTTATATATACAATCTATGGTGTGGACTAGCTAAATTCTAGTTATTCCTCGTATCCCAAACATTGGTGGAAAGATGGTTTTCTGGGTCAATATTTGTACAAGTTAGACGGCATATGGCAACTTAAAGTCAGCAGTGTGTTTAAACTTGTTTTGGATTTCACTAAGCTTAAAATTAGGTAGGTAAAGGTTTATATAAACAAGTCCTGCAGAAACGCTAAATTATTCTGAATATGATGAAACAGTCCTGAACATCTTGCTTTAGTTTAGGTAATCAAATGTGCTGACCCGGGTCCAACAACCGACCAAAGTCCATGAAGGAGACCAACTTGTAGAAACGTCTCTAACTGAAGTGACTGACTTTGTTTACAGTTTTGCATAGGTGTAATCTGGAGTCTGATGATGGGCTTCTGGCAGCCGGGGACCAACCTCAGGGATTATGTATCCCAGAAATCCTCCATGGTGACATTTTTCCCTGGTCTGTTGACTCTGGCCATCTCCTTTATCCTGCTTCAGTTCTTACAGCTACACCCACACTGTTCCAAACCCCGACACAGTGAAGGTAAGGACTCACTTATTCAATTCATGATTGAGAGTGGAATTGTCTGATGTTCTAGCATGCAATCTGTTCACACAATCCTTTTAAGAGGACAAGTTATTGTGTGTAAGTAAAACATGATGTTGTGCAGACTGTGAATGCATGTTGCTTGTGTTTCTGTGTGTCTGGAACTGATTTGTAAATGACACACTTTATTCCTCTTTTAGGACTGGAACCATCTACTGTCCTCTTTTTCACAGCAACACGTTTTGTGTGCAAGCCAATGCAAGTTCGTCTGAGCTTGTCTCACCAGTGCCTTCTCCTCTGATGGATAAAGACAGTTTAGTTTCCTCAACAAAGACTCTCACCCACTTTGCATCTCAAGGTTCCTCTGTCTGTGACTACTAACTCAAACAGTGGCTCCCTGAAAAACCTTGCTTTACACACTGTCTTCAGAGCCAGTCAGTTACATCTTGGGGGTTAGTTTTCCACTGCATTGCTTTGTTTCAGAATAAAGTTAAAGCAGGTGAATAACCATAACATCTCACTCATGATCGATTGTTTTACTCTAAAGGAACGGAGAGTGTTGATGTGACTCTGGAGTTTATGACCGAAAACGATTCCTACACCTGCCTCACCATAAGGGCCCCAGCGCACCTCCTACCCATGAAACTGTAAGTTAATTCACCGTCAAGTTTCTAAGCTTTCCTAAATCACTATCTTTAGTGTAAACCGCTTATAGCACTCACTGTCACAATGATCAACCGCGTAGATGGATCAATAAGATTCCTATACATTGTTGTATTTTAATTAAACGCAGCACAGTCATTTGTTTTGTGCAGATTCTTTGGATAAAAAAAGTTTAAAAATCTGCTAATTAAATACAATTCCGTAAATAATAAAGCTCTGTTTTATTCTTTATATGTTATGAATATGCAAATGTCAGTAAAATGGGAATATGCATGAGTAATACATGAATTCATATTAATGTCATTTTCATTTACTTATGGTGATTAATGTTGACAAAGACAGAGCTTTCCACTGTACCTAGGAAAAATCGCTCCTGAATTTGTCATTTTTTTGTGTGCCTCTAATTTCATGCTTTTTCTTTAATTAAAGACTTCCGCCTGAGTGCCCAGAATTAAGAAAAACATTTCCCCGCTCCATGTGGAAGTGAGCGACAAGAAGCCTGCAGCATCACAAACCTGCTACAGCCTACACTCACAGGATGACCCTACACTCACAGTCATGTTAACACAGGTACAGGATGTCAAACATGAACAATATAACTGAGCCATCTCGACATTTTGTCAGTCATTCTCTACTTGTATTCTTTAGGACGAGCGAAACGTGGCAGTGAGACATCTGATGGAAGTCAGTGTGTGTCTGCTTGGAGTTTGTTTGGTACTCTGTGTCGCTGCCAGTCTCACACAGTCGCTCATACGCCGCCATCATTGGAATGGACTAGATATACAAAATGTAAGTCATTTCTTATATGACCATACCACTTTATATTGTATCTCTGGCTATGGTTATGCCATATGATTGAAAATCTACATACTGTATCGTAGTCTCTGCATTTGCTGTTAAATGTGCATATATTGTTTTACCTAACCTTATTGTTGACTTTTTTGTTTGCAGGAGCCCTTGATGGACACATGAATATTTGTTATCTGCTGACACCAAAGTAATTCATTTGAGAGAAGAGCGTTATGTGTCACTACTTTTTTTTAAGGCACATTCAATCGATTTCTATGGGGAGTAATATTCAGTGTTTAAAACAAATTGATTACAAACAGATTGAGTACATTGCATGCAGTGTGTTGTGCAATTTTGAAGACAGCCTATATTTTTATGTAGCACCCAGTGAGATGAGGATACCGCATTGAACATCTGCTGCATCAATGCTTAACATTTTTATGACATTTCTCAAAGGTTTTTCCTGCTTTAAGAAAGTGTGATGCTTAATCAGTAGAGAATACATGATACATGACAATGAAATGTTATACAATATCAAAGGGAGAAATAATTCTATTATATTACATATATTATAATTATAATAGAGGAGGAGTATTTTGTAATGGGATCCTGATGTACTCTTCAACTAGTAATGCCTACACTGTTGATTGGTCATACATTCCTATCAAGTCTAGTGCATTTTATACCATGTTTACGTCATACATTTCCGATGCATTCTGCCGAGGGAGAGCTCAGTGTTCTCCATGAGTTGTTGTGCATCCACCTGCAATGTGTTAGTGGGTGTCAAGAAAAACCCAAATTCCTGTTGCTCCTAAATTATTTCTAAGCAAAAACCTTTGTTTAGGTGGAAAAAAGGAATGTACCATGTGTTGCTATGATAAAACTATTTGTAATAACACTTCAAATAATGCACAGTTGTCACCTTGAATGTCAACCCTGCCATCAGTGATTTAATGCATTTGAGAATGATGACATGTCGTCGTTTAATGGGGTGTAAAAGCGCTTTGAGAGGTCGGACGACTAGAAAGGCGTAAAATGAATGCAAATTCATTTACAAAATATATACTGACATGTCCTACAGACTCACTCCAGAGTAGGCTAACTCTTAGAAAACA